GAATCCATACATATGTGGGTGTATTAGACATCTTTTGTATACACCTCAGGTTCACTGAACCCCCAGTCTTATCCTGGTTTAGACCTGCTTCCCACAGATGCAACCTAACAACGCTTAGCCTCTTTCTTCCTGGCCCAGACACTATGGCACTAGGTGCCTATGAGATCACATTTGGCACTTACGCGTGAACTACCCAGGAGTAATTGGAGTTAATATTCATGTACCACTCACCCAGTGGGGTTGGAGGTTGATGGGAAAATGCTGTGCTTCCCTCTTCCATTCCTCAGGCAGGCAGTTCTGAGATACATTTGATAAGGTTCCTCTGAAGGACCTGTGGGAACTGGCACTCATAACAGTGGCCAATTCTCTAATTTAGGCTTTATAGGCTTTCTCTACTTCTTTCCTTCATTCCCTGTCCTTCACTCTCATTTCTTGGGATCACTTCATAGATAAATTGCCTGCATAACAGGCCTTTGTCTCAAACATGGCTTTTGGGAAACCCCAGGTTAAATAGTGGGTTCACATACTATATCCAACAGAAAATGTATACGTATATGCACCAAAATACACATAAAAGAATGGTCATAGCAGCATTACTCATATTATCATCAGATTGGAAATGATCCAAATACCCAAAACTCAAAACAATACATAAATTGTGGTATATTCCTAATTGCATGAAGCGATGAAAATAAAGCACTGGATGAATCTCACATAATCTTGAGAGAACAAAGCCAAAAAGAAATGAATATATATTGTATAATTCCATTTAGATAAAATTTTAAAATAGGGGAAAGTATCCTATTGTGTTCATAGTCAGGGCAGTGTTACCTTCAGGCATGAGGTTGGAGGAGTGCTGGTAATTTCCCATCTTGTATTTCCTTTCTAAAGTGAAGTTACATGAATTTGTTCACTTATTGATAATTAGCCACATATACACTTTATAATTTATACACTTTTGTAGTATGTTTTACTTCAATAAAAAGGTTAAGTAACAGTACGTTTTAAATTTCTTACTGATTATGCTATTACAGCTGTTCCAGTTTTCCCCCCATTCCCAACCCCACCCCCAACCAGCAACCCCCCACTCCCTTAGTTCACGTCCATGGGTCATGCATCTACCTTCATTGGCAATTGCACTTCCTATGCTTGCTCTTAACATCCCCCTGCCTATTCTGTAACCACCAATTTGTGCTTTTTAATTCCTGCACCTTTCCCCCACCATTCCTCCAGAACTCCCTCTGCACTGGCCACCATCCCAATGTTCTCCATATGATTCTGTTTCTCTTCTGCTTGTTTGCTTAGTTTGTTTTTTAGGCTCAGTTGTTAATAGTTATGTATTTTTGCCATTTTAATGTTCAGTTTTGATCTTCTTTTTCTTAAATAAGTCCTTTCAGCCTTTCATATAATAATCATGATGAACTCCTTTAGTTTTACCTTGTCTGGGAAGCACTTTATGTGCCCTTCAATTTTAAATGAAAGCTTTACTGGTTACAGTAATCTTGGATGTAGGTCCTTGCCTTTCATGACTTGGAATACTTCTTTCCAGCCCCTTCTTGCCTGCAAGGTTTCTTTTGAGAAATCAGCTCATAGTCTTATGGGAACTCCTTTGTAGGTAATTATCTGCTTTTTTCTTGCTGCTTTTAAGACTATACCTTCGGTAGTTTAATTATGATGTGTCTTGCTGTGGTTCTCTTTGTGTCCATCTTGTTTGGGACTCCATGCTTCCTGGACTCTCATGTCTATTTCCTTCACCAAATTAGGGAAGTTTTCTTTTATTATTTTTTTCAAATAAGTTTCCAATTTCTTGCTCTTTCTAGTCTCTTTCTGGCACCACTATGATGCGAATGTTGGAACATTTGAAATTGTCCTAGAGACTCCCTACAGTATCTTCAACTTTTTGGAATCGTTTTTCATCTTGCTGTACTGATTGAATGTCTTTTTCTTCTTTATGTTTCAAATTGATTTGATTCTTGGTTTCATCCATTCCACTGTTGATTCCCTGTAACTGTTCTTTATTTTAATTAATATATCCTTCATTTCTGCCTGGAACTTTTTTATGCTGTTGAAAGTACCCACTGAGTTCTTGGAGCTTCCTTATAACCAGTGTTTTAAACTCTGCATCTGATAGATCGCTTGTCTCCAGTTTGTTTAGTTGTTTTTTGTGGAGTTTTGTTCTGGTCTTTCATTTGGGCTGTATTTCTTTGTCTTCTCATTTTGACAGCCTCCCTGTGTTTGTTTCTATGTATTAGGTAGAGTTGCTTTGACTCTGTGTCTTGGTAGCATGACCTAATGCAGTAGGTGTCCTGTAGGGTCCAGTGACACAGCCTCCCCTATCACCCAAGCTGGGCACTTGAGGTGCTCGCTCCATGTGGTCTGAGTACTCCCTGCTCTTGTAGATGAGTCTTGATTGCTGTCAGCAGCTCAATGGGAGGGATTTACTCAATCCAGACAGCTGGTAGAACTGGCTGTGACCTCTGGCCAGCAACCACCTCCCTCTGTGGCTTGTGGAGGTGATTGAGTCATGCTCCAACATGGTCTGTAACTTTCCACTGGGTGCTTAGGCTCTGGGGTTTCCTGGGCAGTGTAGGCTAAGGTCAGCCTCCACCTGTGTTCTGTCTGGGGCCCACTGGTGTAAGCTATAAAGCAACTTACACATGGCTGCTGCTAGTGTAAGGCCTGGGGCCACTGAGAGGTATGGGGGCTGGGTCCAGCTGTTGCTTATTTGAGCAGATTTAGGAAGGTCTGAAGCCTGCACCTAGCCCAGCCTTTCATATGGAAAAGCCTCATGGCTTTGGGTGGGTTTGTAATTTGGATGGGTAGGGCCCTTAGGTAATTGTTTGGTTGGGGTTTACCGTATGAGCCAGGTTGATGGAGATCCATACATGGTGCTGCCACACTGTGGCTCTATTGAGGAAGGGCGCTCAGAAAAGGTACAATGGCTGCTGTGTACAGGTCTGTCTGGGCAGAAGCTGGCCCCCCCTCACCCTAGTGCTAGTTACTTCTGTTCCCCTCCACATGCTACTCGTGCCCTTCAAGATGCTGCCCCTGTGCTTGAGCCCAATATGTGTCTGGGTAAGTCCATGCACAGTGTGAGGCCCTTTACAAGAAGAGGCCTGAGAATCCGTTTCCTCTGCCAACCCACCACTGGTTTTTACAGCCAGAAGTTATGGGGACTTATCTTCCTGGCACTGGAACCTGGGCTGGGTGGTCTGATGTGGGGCTGGGATCCCTCACTCCTGATATACCCTCTGTTTTATATCCGCCATACATGGGTTTGGGACCAGCTGGTTCCACATCTGCACAGTTCTACCCCTCCACCTTTCCTACCCATCTGGATGAATGCGGTTCTTTAACTCCTTAGTTGTTGGTCTTCAATACAGCTCGATTTCCTAATGGGTCTGAGTGCTGCATGTTCTGTAGTTTAGCTGTAATTTCGATGTGGTTGTGTGAGGTGGCGAGAGCATTCACCTACCCCTCCATCTTGACTGGAAATCCTCAGTACCAGTACATTGTACAAAGAAACAGAACTTCAGACAAATAAAAACTTGGAATGTGTAAAAAAATAAAAGACTAAGGTTTGGAAGATGAAGGATCTTAAATGGTGAAATAAAAAGAAAAGTTGGAAAATATCAAGAGACGAACAACCAACCAGTTCAAAAGGTTCGACGTCCAACTAATGTGCCAAAAAGGGTAAACAGAAATGAATTAAAGGAAAATATAAACTAAAAAATGAGAATTTGCTAGAATAAGAAAGAAATACAAGCCTTAAAATGAAAGGGACCCCTAAGAGGCAAGTAACCTTAGATAGTAAGTGTAACATTTCAGGGAACTGAGGATTTTAAAACAAATGCTATGAAAGGAGGGATGGGGAGGGGGTAGGAACAGAGTCAAGGAGAAACATAAACTGGCATAAGATTTCCCAGTAGCAACCCTGACCCCCTTTGTAGATGATAATCAAGTTAAGAAATATCAGTACCTTTTCTTGTCCAGAGTCTCATTGTTCCAGTTTTATTGTTTTTGGTTTGCAGGCCCTGCCTGTTACGGACTGAACTGTGTGCCCTCAAACTTCATCATACGAACTCCTAAGCCCCAAGCTGGATCAGGACACCGGAGTCTGGCTTCCATCTCACACTAATACGTCACACAAGCCACTTCACAGCTTTTTTTAAATGGTCCCTCAGGTCCCTCCTGGCTTACTGCTTCTTGAACGTGTTGTCCTAACGAACAGCTGAGAAGATGAGAGCTAGAGGAGCTGGGATCTTCATTAGATTTTTCTAGAAATGACAGGGTTTTGTAAGAAACTGAAACTAATAATAGGATTCTAGTTTTACCTTAAGAGGTCAGAAAGCATTTTGAAAAGCAATTTTAAATTTACTTCTAGGAATTCTAAGTCAAAACGGCAGATGACAAAGGGAGAAGTTGCAAAGCACATAGTAAGAAAAGTCTTTTTTAAAAAAAGATTTTATTTATTTATTTTTAGAGAGGGAAGGGAGAGAGAAAGAGAGAGAAAGAGAGAGAGAGAGAGAAACATCAATGTGGGGTTGCTGGGGGCCATGGCCTGCAACCTAGGCATGTGCCCTGACTGGGAATCGAACCTGTGATACCTAGTTCGCAGCCCACGCTCAATCCACTGAGCTATGCCAGCCAGGGTGTAAGAAAAGTCTTAACTGAGTAATTGTACAAAATAGGTGCTAGAGGATGTTGAACAAAAATGATGGAATAGGAAAAGTTAATTCTTCTGACCTTTAAAAAGTCTTATTTACAATTAGATTAGCTAGTGTAAATTTCATTTCTATGTACTAATTTTTGTTAACTGCATACAAAGTATGACCATGAAGATATGCAGGTAAAACCTAAACAAAAAAGCTTATCAAAGGATGATGAGTGACTAGATTTTCCCAGCAAACTTTAAAATTTTATTTTCCTTCTGGTAAACTCTCCTAATATTTCACAGGAAAAGAATTATCAGTAAATGAAAGAAACCATTCAATAGTCAAATGTTTGTATCAGAATTTTAATGATTTCATCAGTTACAGAATTTACTTTGTTCTTACTATTAAGGTAATAGCACCTTCTAAAAAGAATTTAATGAAACAATTTGATTAAATGTCCAGAGAGCACTTAAATAGTAATGAATAGACCAATTTCCTTTCAGTCATTATATTGGCATCTCAACAATGCAGGCAAGTTCACAGCTACAAAGCAAGCCAAAGTGACTGGTCCCATTTCTAGAATGTCTAATCCAGAGTTCAGACTTCTTGAGTTTGCTACCTGCCATCTAACTTCTTAGTCTTTTAATCCGTAGTACACTTCCAGTGATTCCATTCTATCCTATTAAGAGGTTGTATAATAAAATGAGAGTTAGGTGCTAACATTTTTTATATTGGCATCATTTTAAAAATAATTCACCCACCTCATTTTAGGATCACTTAAATTCAATTGTATTTTTAACAATGCCACATTCATTCTTTACATCTAATTTATCCTTTCTTTCTGAAATACATTTCCCATTTTTCCTAACTGTCCAGTTGGTACGTATTTATACATAAAATTACAGTATCTTCTATGGGCCATGTGTTTCTATTGGTTTCTATGTTCTTCAAGAAAAGCTTTCCTTCACAGAGATTCCTCTTTCCTCTGAGAAACCACGGGCAACACGGCCCTCTCTCCAGCCCAGCTACTTAACAGAGACAAAGCACAGCTCCAGGTGGTTGGAATGAGAGGAGCCAAGATGACCAGGCAGGTGAAAAGCTAACCAGAAAGCAAAGTCTGTTTGTGAACTTGGATTCATCTTTGATTCCACTGAGCACCTGAAGAAAGGCAAACACTCAAATGTTTCATGAAACAAGGCAAGAATCCAGCCTCCTCTTGTTTCAACACCCGTTACTTCTAAGTGTTATTTTGCTAGTTTTTGCCATCAGGCAGCTTTAGCACTGCACTGTGGACAGCGATGGTCCTGCCTCATTTTTTCCCCAGGCTCCACACACCTCATCAAGGACTCAGTGGCCTACATTTTATCTAAGAGTTTATGCTAATTCTGGATCCTCAAATATTCACATCTAAAAGATGCCTGCGCTCTGTTACTGCGTGTTACCAGAAATGAAACACTGTTTTTATCTAATTTGATTTTTAATGGAATTAATAATGATTTAGTTTTCAAAAGAATAATTGCAGAACAAGAGAAAACATTGCTGAGATGATACACGATTGCCAATATTCAAGCCAGTGTTGGACTACAGAGGTAAGAAATGGATATTCATGGTGTTAAAAAGTTAAGAGTAAAATGACCAATCAGGAAATAGCAATAATGAAATTTATGACAGAAAGAATCTGTTTAGACTGAATCTGCCAGTATTTTTCAGAAAATAAAATGAAAACCCCAGTCCCTTGGAAAAAAATATGACAAGGAATGCCCAGACACAGCCTGTTGTTAGGACTGCTGCTCTCCAAAATCCAATGCACAAAGGTCATCCCATTTAACTTTCAACAGTTTTCACTTTGTTCTAGCTCTCCCAAGTTAAGTAAATTTCTGTATTGTTCAGGAATTATTAGAAATTTCATTCAGTTTGAACGATAAACAAGTATTGTGACATGGGCATAAAACGTCTTTTTCAACCAGATCATAAGACATAATTGTCAATAAAGTGCATTTTACATAAAAGTACCCACTAGGAGAGTAATTTAAAGTGCAATATATAAGGTATTTCAAATAGTGCAAAGTTGCTAAATATATACATTGTATGTGCCAAGTCAAAATAAAGCAGGATCTTATCTCTCTATAAGCCAGACAGGACAATGGAAACATACTTCCGCCTTTTTAATGCTTTGCAGATATGTGTGTTTTGGTCCATCTGTGTGTGCATGTGTATGAAGAAAAGGCTGTGCCTGCGTATGTATATAACTGCTTAATGGTCTGTGCAAAGGTCTGAAGGTGGTTTCCTAGAATTCGAAACCTTTAAACACTGACAGAATTATGTGACCTCCACTCCTAAGCAGCATTAAGCTTGTAATAATGGTTGAACTATTTCAGCCTGCATATCTGGTAAGGCAGGCATCTGACTTCGAATTAAATGTTTAACAAAAATTATAAAAAACACAATAACTATAACGCTACCGAGAGAGACCCCTATGAAATATGCATATGACTCTTCTTGCTCATATTCTCCTGGTTTGACACTACCGTGGAGGAGTGTGGTACTCTGCGTGTAAGGAAGTGCTCTCGGAGCTGCCGAACTGAGCAGGTCCTGGACATTCCCGAGTGACCCGTTATGTGGCATGGCAGGGATGCTGAGAAGGTGGCAGAGCAGTGGGTACAGATCTGTGGAGTTCATGGCTTCTCTTGTGAAATTCTTTCTGAAGGCAGGTCCGTGGGCTAAAAATATCGGATGCATTTCTGCTAACATATTATCATAACCATGGTTGCCCACTGTAAAGATAAGATACGTGAAAGGTTAGCCAACCAAAAGGCATTAAAGCAGAAATAACTGTTATACTGTCAAAGTCTGAACAAGTAAATGCAATTTTTATCCAATTTGACTTGTAAAATAGTCTTTCACAAACCATCTTTTCTGTTGTCAACATTGCAATTCACTTTAGGAACTAAAACGGCAAATTACTGCAAAGCGCACTCACAGGCCAATGCTGCCTCAGCAGCACAGGAGGGAGGGTGAAGAGCAAAGCTGAGCCAAGTCGAGGGAAAATGGATCGAGCATTGTTTTTGGAGGCAGGTGAACTACTTGTTAGGACCCTACTATGTTCTAATGATTGTTCTAACGGTGCTCTTAGTCATAAAGACAATAGAGCCATAGTTACTAACAGACGGGGAGAAACAATGGATAAAGCAAAACAAAATATACCCCCAAAATCACACCTCTAGTTACAGTTACAACCTCCTATCAAAAAATCAAGGTCAGGACTTGAGGGTAAAATCTTGACGTTTGTGGTTCAGATCAGCATCCAACTTGGCACCACGTGCCTCGGTAGGCATACAAAAAGGAAAACCTTGAGGGGTCTTCTGACTCACCAAGTGATACAAAATCAAAGGGTGAAAACTGCAGAATCAAAGCTGCACTTTATGTATGTGGTGATGGCACTGTGAATTTTTATTTTATTTTTCAGTTACTGTTTGCATCCAACATTTTTTTTGTATTTAGTTTCAGGTGTACAGCACAGTGGATAGATATTCATATAGATTATACAATGTTCCCTCCGATAATGCAAGTGCCCACCTGGTACCATAGATAGTTATTACAATATTGTTCACCATATTCCCCATAATAAAAGCTGCAAATTAAAAGCATGTGTGCTGAGCATGGCATCTGGTGCAAAGGTGAAGAACCTACTGTTGATGGCAACCTACGAGACAGACTTTATTTTAAAGGTGGTGAGGACAATGTCTAGCAAATCAGTCTCTAGTACCTACATTGCTATGCGGAAATATGTAACAGGAATACAACATTAAAATAATAATAATCCTAAATCAATTTCTCTGCAAAGTCATGAAATGACCCTTAGTCATATCCTCAAAGCAATTCCAAATCTGCCTGGCCAAATCCATAAAAAAAAAAAAGTCCAAATGCCATGATTCTTTTGTATTTATTCAAGTAAAAATAATGCTGGGTTTATGAAATCATCTGTAATTATTTGACAGGGTACTATGCAATTGTATGGAATTCTTTGAGAACATCAAGATTGGGAAATCAGCTGTTATATAATTGGTAATTGATGGGATATTCATTCATTTCTGTAAGAAGTTGGGATCTAGACTCTCGGTCATGAAGATGAAGGTCATTCTCCCAAATCCCACTTTTTACTAGAAAATCCGATTTCACATGAAACCATTCTGACTTATAAAACCTTCCCCATGAAGAGGGACTTTGTCTTCTAGTGGTAGCCCTACCAGAAGTGCCCTACCAGAAGTGCTCGACCCAGTGGGTAACATTTAATAGTGGATGTTTGCGGGCAGCGGTCCTCAAACTCCAGTGTGTCTTCAGCTCCTGGGAGCACATGTAAAATCAGAGTGCTGGGCTTTGCCCTCACAGTTTCTATTCAGTAGATCTGGGTTAGGCTCTAGAATTTGCATTTCTAACCATTTCCCAGGTGATTTGGTTGCTGCTGGTCTAGGGAACACACTCTGAGAACCTCTACTTTTGAACATCCGGGCTTAATCTCTTACAGAACTCAGGCTGAGAAGAAGAGTAGTGGTCAGTATTTAATTATTTTGTTGAATAAATGAACATGATGTAATATAAACAGGAGCATTATTAAGGTTTTCTGTCAAAAATAGGTGTGACCAACCTATTGTGCAATTGTAGTTCCCCAAACCAAACCTGAAGAGGGCCCCTTACAGTCACATCAACTGTACAGTTCTGCGCAGCTCCTCTGACGTAAGAGCTGACTGCACGACACACGGAAATCTGAGCAGGTAAAGCTGGCAACTATTCTCATGGCCGAAGAAATTATTTTTAAAGGCCTTCTTAAAATGGTTCCCCTGATGCGATTACATATCAGTTTACAGATCATTATCTGTATATAAAACCAGTTTTTAGAACTAGAAACCATGTACGTGTACAAATTATACAATAGCATTTACTCTGTCACTATGAATCATGTGTGCTTTACAAGAGTCACCGACAGGCAACTGCTTTTCTTTTCCTCAGTAAACATGCTAGGAACCTAATTCTACCTAAGTGGACATTTTTGTACATCTCTTGAGATATACACACACACACACACACACACACACACACACACACACACAGATCAAGGACAAATACCCAAAAAAGCATTTCAAGATAGTTTCACACAATGTGGTTCCTGCAACATTCAAATAATGCAGAGTAGAAACAAATCCCAGTGAACTGTTAACTGCTCGTCAATGTGTGCTACCCCTCATCCACCAGGAAGGAGCCAACGCCAGGTGGTCCAATACAGGGGGCTGAATACAGGGACTAGTCATAAAAGTGTTGAAGATCTGAGAAGCAAATGTGATTAGGAACAGTGGGAACCTCCTATGGGCCCCAGGGCTGGGTGGACAGCGGTTTTTCTCAGTAAGAGCTGAGGCCATAGGAACAGTTGTCCAGAGGGAGCTGGGATCACAGAGGAAATGCAGCCAGTTAGGCACATAGCCTAAGGCAGAAAGTAGGGAACAAATACTCTGGGTGTGAAAATGTTCCATTGGCCAAACCTAACCAGAAACCAGATCACAAAGGAGCCTAGGAATTTACCATATTTTGCCATGCATAATGTGCTCCTGTGTATAATGTGTACGCATAACATTCTGTGCACATTATACAAGGGATTATTACACCCATGGTATGTGACATTATAACCCTGTATAATGTGCATCTTTATTTTTCTCTCAAAAATCTGGGCAACAGTATGCATTATATATGGCAAAATGCAGTAAATCTGCAGTAAAGCAGAGCAGGGAGTTTGAGAGCAAATATGCAAAGGACAGACACAATGACACAAGATGAGTAAAATCCTGTCAATGGCATTTCCATTTGGCTAGCTTGTTAAAAGCGGTGTAAGAAGAAAAATTACACATTAAGGATGGCAGAAAGTGCCTCATTTTGCATGTTTGAATTTTAAATGGAAGTTCCATTATATTACAAATTCATTCAGTGGCGATAGCTCCAAAACTATATCACTAGGTATTAGGAAAGCACAACTTGATACATTATTTTCCATGATACATTCACTTCTTTTTAGAAATGGCTCCAAGGTGTAAAGCAAAGCTGGCCTACATTTGGTAGAGCCAGAAGGGTGAACAAAACAAAACACACAAAAAACCTAGAATGCTAACAATTGTGAATAAAAACTAGAGTTTAAATTCTAATGAACTCAGAATATAAAACGGATAGAGAAAATAATTCCATTCATGAATTTCAGTTACGTTTTTCTCAGAAACAGAATAGTTATTATAGCTGACAGTATAGGTCACTGTGCATATTTTTGGTTTGATGGCTTCAAGAGAAGTAAATGTTTCGTTTTTAGAAGGTTGCCTCTCATTAAAGCCCCAGAGATCTTTAATTTGCTTTTAGTGTATGATATTAGCTAGTTATTCAATCAGTAAGTAAACTGCTGTGTTATCCATAGTGTCCACTTTAGCAAATGGTGATGTAGAATGGGGAGAAATAACTGTAACATACTTACACATAAAATCATCTGACTTATTCTGTAAAATATACCATCCTTTGTCAGCCACTGCTATAATTGGCTGAATGCGACCGTTGTATTTGTAATGCCATCTTTCTGGAATCTCTTCTTTTTTGTAAACAGTCATATTAGGATGAGCATGAGCTAGTGCCTCATAGACGTCATCAAATTTTCCTATAAGAGAAAGGAGAAGGGGGCACTCAGAACAAAGCTGTCACTGCTATAATCAAAGAAAACAACCGCAGCAACAGAGGTCGATCAATGCAGATGCCCCACTGAGGGAAAAGACAGCAAGCTGCACATAACGGAATCTAGCCAGACACTTGAGAACTCCCAATCCCTTTGAGAAAAAAATCTTGAGGGAGGAAACAGAGAGAATTCATCTCCTATTCTAAGGAAATTCACCTTAAACAATTAAGAGATCATTGTAAAGAATCTGAAATCTCTAATTTGAGATTTCTTAAACACACACACACACACACACACACACACACACACACACTAATACTGCAATACCCAAGCTAAAACAAAGGGTTACATTCTGGTAGTTATTGAGTGCAGAGATAGAGAATCTCTAGGTAAGAAAATATAGTGAGTGGAGGGTGAGGGTTGGGTGGAAGGCAGATTGTAAAGTGGAAAAGTTCTTTAAAACCCTGGAGGTCTTGCAAAAGGGCTCCCGATAACTTCATATACAGTGAACCTGGGCAATGTCTCCATTCCTTTTCTTGTTTTTCAAATCCACTCAGCAGGGGTTCTTCCCTGCCTCCCACACCCAACAAGGCAACACCTGTGAGTTTTATAAGGAAAACTGAAGAGTTACTGCGATTTTCTGAAACAACAAACTTGCTATTTGATATTGAATTTGTTGAAATGTCTGCATGTAGGCACATGTGCATATTTTAACATTCATTGTTTCCTATGATTCTCTAAATTCCCCTTTGAGGGATAGATCTCTCATTTGTTCGGCAGACAACTTTTCAAAATCTGTTCTCTCATTTGATACCTAGACTAACCCTAGGAGGTGATAAAACACAGGTCAGAGGAGTTGGCCCAGGTCTTGCTCTGCACTTACACTAGGATCTGGGGATGTAATACCAGGTGACAGGCTGCTATGAGGCTTTGAGGAGAGGTTATAAAAACTCAGGGTATTGTTATTACTTCCCCTACTCGTTGTTAAGAAAATGAAATCTCAGTTTTCTCCTTCCTCCACTCCACTGCTTTGCTATTAAGCAGGCCCTAAGGATCTACAGAAGGCTTTGCGGGCTTCTAAAAAACCACTGTCATTCTGTCTTCCCATCTCAATCGTTCTGAGAAGGGGGCTGTAGCTTTCATCATATATGATGATTCCAAAATCATTAAATCCAACTGCTATAAATATATGGAGAGCATCAATTCCAATACTCTAGGGAAAAAGTGAAAAACTACACTCCAAGTCATTGGAGTTGGTTTGAGGAAATAACAAAATATTGTTAGGTTGGTTTGAGGAAACAACAAAATATTCTGTTAGCCACTGACAGCTGTCAGAGGGGAAGTGGTTGTGGGGATGGGTGAAAAAGGTGAAGGGGGTAAACAAAGAGAAAGAAACTCTTAGGTACAGATATCAGTGTGGTGATTACCAGAGGGGAAAGGGGGTGGGGGAGGTGGAAGAGGGTAGAGGGGGGATAAATGGTGATGGAAGGAGACTTGACCTGGGGTGGGGAACACCCAACACAATATACAGAGGATGTATCATAGAATTGTACACCGGAAACCTATATAATTTTATTGACCCATGTCACCTCAATACATACAATAAAAATTTAAAAAAATATCCTGTTAGCGTATATTCCAGGGAGTAGCTAGGGCCTGCAGGTAAACACCTGCAGGTAGCACTGAAGGAAACCAGAAAGGAACCAGCTCCAACAGGTTAAGGCATCTATTACAAACTTAAGGCAACCAAGAGCTTGTTATAATAATAGTAAAACCCCTGCTTCTGGGAGGGCTTTGATTGCCATTTTCTGAAAATAGGACACATGAAGAGGCACGGCCTGCTAATGTGCCCATGCCTTCCCTACACCAACCCTTACCACTATGACAAAAATTTCCATCAAGAATACACATTAATTTGACAGGATAAAAGTTGCTTTGGATGTTATTCCATGTGGGCTCCTCATCCGGCTGCAGATAAATTTCACTCTGTGTGGCAACCATTCTTATTGTAAATTCTGGTACCTTGCTCACCCAGAAGTGAACCCAATTCACCAGTTCAGTAATAAAGAGAGAGAACTAGAGAAAGAGAGAGACAAGAGAGGTTTCGTTTTTTCAGGGCCTAAGGGTTAAATCCCTGAACACGACCACATCACAGGCAAGCATGTTAAAGCCACAGAAACAGAAACTCCCCACCCGACTGCACTGCACACACGCAGACCTGAGTTTTGACTCAGGCAGAACTTACCTTCCTTTGGCAAAATGGCTGCTACTGGTGACTGGTCAATCAGGACATAGTGGTCTTTATCCAGGTACTGGTCAAGTTCTATCACCCTTTCCTCAGAACACTGGGTCATCCCGTGATCACTCGTGATGATCAGGTTTAGAGTGTTCCACAGCTTCGCCTTTTTCAGCATTTGTATGAGATACCCTAACTTGTTGTCAATGTCTGAAATGACAGGGCCCATGAGTGGGCTGTCAGGCCCCAAAGTGTGGCCCATGTCATCAGGGTCTTCCCAATAGAGAAGACCGAGATTGATGGGTTCTTTTGACGTAAACCATTCAATAATTTTGGCAACTCTATCTTCAAATGAAACAGACTCATTGTAAAGCATGTAGTGAGTAGGAAAGATCTGATGTATTTTTACATCTGTTCCAGGCCACATGGCTGCACCACTAGTGTGTCCGGCCCTCTGATTTGTGATCCATATTGGCGTTGCTTCTTCCCAAAACTCAGAATCATAAATATTCATGGTATCCAAGGAGAAAGATTTGTTCAGAATAGAATCAAACATGTCATTTGCAACAATCCCATGATTCTCTGCAAAGAGGCCAGTTACCAAAGTATAGTGGTTAGGATAGGTCTTCGTAATAAAAATATTAGTAACCTGCTTCACATGAACACCATATTTCATAACGTAATGAAAATGAGGTGTTGGAACTCTATATAAGTAATCCCAACGGAATCCATCAAATGAAACTAGGAGAACCTTTTGCTGGTCTGGTTGGAGAGAAAATGTAATTGAAAGTGTTAATGTAGCAAGTATGAAGGCCACCCAGATGAATTTTGAAGTCATTTTCAAAGTACTTGATCAGCTCAGCATAAGATAATCTGTATTAAAAAGATACAGAAGTTAGTAACATTTGGAAAATAATTTTATTTTGTATACTTTACCCAAAACTGAGAGTGATAGGGCTTAGTAATCTCAGTTATATCATAAATCGTAGCCTTGAAGGATTATGTTGCAGAACTCCATCTTAAACAAGATACCTGAGACTACCTGTAAAAAAGCTAAGAATTTAAGCTGCATTAGAATGTTTTAGTTTCAAGAACTTAACAAAAATGAAAATATTCCTCAAAGGAATTATTTTAATAGGTTCTCAAATATCATTTTAAAATATGATATAATTTGCATACAGATTTTCAGGTTATATAATTTCATACATTTTCAGGTTGACCCAGACTTCTGACAGTAAAACACCTGTGAACATTGGCAAATCCAATAATAATGCTTAAAAAAATGTATGGTTTTCAAAGTCAAAGCCTTATATTGGGTTAGCCAAAAAAGTCCATTATATTTTTTATATAAAATAAAACACAAACTTTTCATTTTCACCAATAACTATTGATTTGAGTATTTTGAGTATGTCAGCCATCTCCTGCTATTGGTTTCTAATGGATAGAGGCCAGGGGTGCTGCTAAAAATCTTCCATGCATAAGACAGCCCCACAGTAAAGAATTATTTGGTCAAAATGTCAATATACCAGAAAACTTTGCAAACCACTTCTGACATGGATGATCAGTCACAGCACCTTCTCCATACACTGCACAAACCTTTTTTTGTGCTTAGTTGTGTTTTTACCTTTCTTGAAATAATAAAGCATAATACTGCTGAAAATATTACATATTTTCTTCCATCTTCAATATTAAAATGGATGCACAAAAATGCACCAATTTTGATTTTTTAAAATGCATGTTGATACGACAGCTGTCACGATACACCACAATTGTTTCAAATGAAGTTAAAGACAACTAAGCACTACTAGAGCCATCATGCAGAAAAAAAGTAGTGGACTTTTTGGCCAACCCAATATTTGGCTCATCATGGTCAGAGCTGTTACTAGAAAAAGGAGAAAATACACTGACTTGGTTTCTTGAAGAGACATAAAATTTGTGACATTAAAATATATTTGTGAAATGTAGTCTGCATTAATTTAATAATCAAATCATAGCCTTCTTTAAACAATTAGATTCTGAAGTACGTACAGAAACATATTTCTGAAATTTGATGTTGACCTTCCTAATGTCAAAATTTGTTAACATTTAATCTTATCAGTGACATGTGGAAAAAAAGCACTTCCCAGATTAAATATTATCTCTCTGGACCAAGGTTCTTGGTGTATTCATTTTTTTAAATCTGCATATATTTCTAAAAAGCTTTTATTCTATTCAAGAAAGCTAATAAGAGGCAATATGCAGACCTCCTGCCAAGATGGAGGAGTAGGTAGATAGATACATTTTGCCTCCTCTCACAACCATAAGAAGGACAACAAATTTAAAACCCAAAAATAACCAGAACTGCAAGAAAATCGAACTGTATGGAAGTCCTACAACCAAAGAGTTAAAGATGACACATTCGTCCAGACCGGTAGGAGGGGCGGAGACAGGCAGCCAGGCGGAGAGGATTCACGGCAAGGCGGCGGTGACTGGAGGATGGGCACTGGCGAGGTGGTGGCTGGCTGAGCTGGTGGTCCCACATTTGCATGCGGATGAACCAGGAAGAACAGCTGGGGAGCAAGACAGACCATGCAACCCAGGGCTCTGGCATGGGAAATAAAGCCTCAAAACCTCTGACTAAAAAAACCTGTGGTGGGTTGAGGCAGCAGGAGAAACTACCAGCCTCACAGGAGAGTTTGCTGGAGAGACATACAGGGTTCTAGAACGTACACAAACCCACCCACCCGGGGAATCAGCACCAGAAGGGCCCAATTTGCTTGTGGGTAGTGGAGAAAGTGACTGAAAACCGACTGAGAACAATTCAAGCAGCATTATTCCCTCTTGGACTCCTCCCCCACATACAGCATCACAACACAGCAATGTGGGTTGCCCTACCCTGGCGAACACCTAAGGCTCTGCCCCTTACTACATAACAGGAATGCAGAGACAAAGAAATATGGCCCAAATGGAAGAAGAGATCAAAACTCCACACAAAAAAAACTAAATGATGAAGAGATAGCCAACCTATCAGATGCATAGTTCAAAACACTGGTAATCAGGATGTTCACAGAATTGCTTGAATTTGGTCACAAATCAAATGAAAAAATGAAGGCTATGCTAAGTGAGATAAAGGAACATGTATAGGGAACCAACAGTGAGGGGACGGAAACTGGGACTCAAATCAACGGTGTGGACCAGAAGGAAGAAACAAGCATTCAACTAGAACAGAATGAAGAAACAAGAATCCAAAAAAAATGAGGAGAGGCTTAGGAACCTCCAGGACAACTTTAAACATTCCAACTTCTGATTCATAGGGGTGCCAGAAGAGGAAGAGCAAGAAATTAAAAACTTATTTGAAAAAATAATGAAGGAGAACTTCCCCAATCTGGCAAAGGAAATAGACTTCTAGGAAGTCCAGGGAGCTCAGAGAGTCCCAAAGAATTTGGACTCAAGGAAGCACACACCAAGGCATATCATAATTATGTTACCAAAGATGAAAGATAAGGATAGAATTTTAAAAGCAGCAAGAGAAAAGGAGACAGTTACCTACAAAGGAGTGCCCATTAGACTATCAGCAGATTTCTCAAAAGAAACCTTGCTGGCAAGAAGGGACTGGAAAGAAGTATTCAAAGTCATGAAAAGCAAGGATCTACAACCAAGATTACTCTGTCTAGCAAAACTATCCTTTCAAATGGAAGGGCAGGAAAAATGCTTCCCAGATAAGGTCAAGTTAAAGGAGTTGCTCATCACCAAGCCCTTATTATACGAATGTTACAGGGATTTATCCAAGAAAAAGATAATCAAAAATACAAACAATAAAATGACAACAAACTCACACCTATGAACAACAGAACCAAAACTAAAACCAAAACCAAAACCAAAATGAATTAAGCAAACAACTATAACAGCAACAGATTCACAGAAACAAAGATCAAATGGAGGGTTATCAGTGGATGGGGGAGGGGGCAGAATGGGGGAAAAGGTATGGGGAATAAGGAGCATAAATGGTAAGTACAAAATAGACAGGGGGAGGGTTAGAATAATATGGGAAATGGAGAAGCCAAAGAACTTGTATGTACAACCCATGGACATAAACTAAGTTGGGGGGATGATGGTGGGAGGTGGAGGTACAGGGCAGAGGGGAATAAAGAGGAGAAAAAATGGGACAACTGTAATAGCATAATCAATAAAATATATTTTTAAAAAAGAGACAATATGAATAAACAATACATATGTACATTTTGTCAGTTCTCATTGGGCCTGCAAATCAACTGAGGATGTTTTGTTTTCCCTTTTTCCTGTCCATTCTTGCAGGAAGGTATTTATAAGCCCACCAAAAATTGTAACCAATGATATTTTGTGACAAGAAATCTCTCTCTTTTTTAAAGATTTTATTTATTTATTTTTAGAGAGGGAAAGGAGGGAGATAGAGAGAGAGAAACATCAATGTGCGGTTGCTGGGGGTCAAGGCCTGCAACCCAGGCATGTACCCTGACTGGGGATCAAACCTGCGACACTTTGGTTCGCAGCCCACGCCCAATCCACTGAGCTATGCCAGCCAGGGCATAAGAAATCTCTTAAATTCAGCTCTGACATCTTCCTAATTTGAGTACACTGAAGACATTTTTAAACCTCAAAATAGACCCTGTCTTGCCCTGCTCTATATATTATAGCTATAGGGAAATAAAAACTGCTTGTCATACTTGCATTGTTTGTTTTTTAATCGTGATTTCACCATACACAGAACTGAATTAGTTAAACTGAAATTGTCTTATTAGTCTCTAGACAATGGTTCAAAACACATTTAAAAACTATTGCTCAGATGGCAGTAGTGTTTCCAATTCTGGAAGGGACCTTAAAAATCTGTTCCAATGGGGAACTATAAATATATTCACTAACATATGTGGATGAGGATGGTGGTTACTTCTTTCTCCTTTTTCTATTACCTTCCTAACACAAGGTTAATATGAACCAAATATAATTTAGGCCGAAAAATGAATCAACTACATGAACCACCTGATTTTCCTCTGCTAAGTAAATTAATTTAGCAACTGTGGTAAGCAGTAAAGAACTGCTTTCCTGGGACAAAGGAAAACAAACAAAGGGTAAGTGTTGTCTAAAGCTTAAGAATGTTTGCTAAGCAGAACCAACGTTATCACATGGATGACACAGAGCAATGCACAGAGAGTGGGGGTTGGGATGAATGAAATCTCAGTTTTCTTTTTTTTTAATGCACAGAATGCTGCACAGTGCAACGGAATCCTTAGCTCTGGGTCCAGATTTCACTGGGCTGCTTTCCAGTTCCTCCCCCCCCCCCCACCCCGCCCCAGACAAGTCTTGAAAGTCGAAAGTCTGGAGAGAAGGGCGCTAAGAAACGCGAAGAGGGGAAGTGCAGGAGGATTAAGTGTCTCTTGAGAGAATAGACCTTAAGAGGGTGATGCATCGCCCCACCGTCTCCACAGGCTTCCATCCTAGACATTGGGCAGGGTTTCGGCGTAGGGTACGCCCACCGATGCTGGCAGATGCCCCAACAAGAGCTGTGTGTGGAACTGAGGGGTCGTCTGGGGGCCTACCAGCAGCCCACTGGAGCCGCGTGGGTCCCTGGGAAGGAAGCAGCCCATTCTTACCTTCGCAGCGATCTGGTCAGTGCCCACCGGTTTCGGACAATGGAAGGGAGGATCTAGAGTGGGTTCCCTTCGGCAGTCCCTGGGCAAGAACCGGCAGGTGGCAGAAGTGAGGGGCACCCTCGAACCCCCAGCCACTCAGCAGCAAGCAATGTCTGCACGGAGCACCTGACCACCACGCTTCCACCCCGTAGGCCCCGCCTCTTGGCTTTCATTTGCTCCAGTGGGGCTGGTTACTGTTAGCGGGCTCCTGGGAGTCGCTGAACTGACTGTCAATCATGGGGAAAGGGCGGGTGCTGCTTGGGTTTGGATGACTGGGGGTGGGGGGCGGGAGCCCCCAGAAGCGAAAAGCCGTAGCAGACCGCGCTGGGAGGTCGGTGCGGACATTCCTGGTACTTTGTGTTCCCTGAGGTCGTCTCTTTGTCTGGGCACCAAACGTTTCCGAAGTGTGCCTTTTCTAGACGGGCAGTAGTGCTGTAATCAGTGATGCAGAGAGGTTATAAAGCTCTACCCCAGTGGTTTGTACACTCACTGTTTTTGTTAAAAGGACTTTTAATTCTCTTATCTGTTAAGGTAACCAAATGTGGTTACCTTACCATATGTGGTAAGACACACACATTGGTCAATGACGCCATACCCTGGGTTTTGTTCTGAGGAACGCCAAGGGATATCGATAGGACGTTGAAATTTAATATAAATCTTTTTATTAGTTGGTGTTGGCACCTCACAAAAAATTTAATTCAAAAGGATTTAATTTAGCTCTCTAGCCCCCATGGTTGTTGTCCAGGTTTTGGTAATACTCGTATATAAGGTCTCAGGGATCTGCAATAGCGATGCACCTGAGAATGAACAAGTTAAACCAAGCCAGGTTCAGGATTAAGTTAATTTGCACAGCCAGAGAGGAAGAACAGCTACTGATAGTTGCATCTAGGCTGTAGACTCTTTTTCAGGCTTGACTTCCAAACATGCATTAAAGCTGTGAACTTCGGGTCCTACTTCTCTTTCAGGAAGTGTTCTTTGAATTGACCCTGTTTCTTCTGCTCCCTTACTGTAGTGAATTAATTTTTCAAGTTTTTTTGGTAATCGATGGTATTTTTAGGATGGCAGGAGTGTGGTGGGCAAGTGCACAGGTTGCCAATCTGATGCTAACTATAAGTATCATAAATTGTAGCGGTGACTTCCAGCTCCCCTGAAAGGATTTGTCCACTTACACAATTTCCTAGGCCTAATTCTGACCACTTTGCAACAGATGTTACTGCAATAGGCAGTAATATCTGCTTGGTTGTTGCAACTTAGGTTTCAGCATCTAATCACCCTGTAAAACAGCAAGCAAAAACAGTGGCTTTGGCTCTGTCTGGAGTTCTTGTTTCCTGTCTGATATGCAGGAGCTGTGAAATGATAGACATTCCTGTTAATATTTAAGTGAGACAAGCATTTTGGTCATAGTTCTTTCTTTCCTCCTTATAGATGGGACAGTCCCTACCCCATTGGCTCCTTTCTGATTATGTCACACCATCCCAAAGGGCATCTGGTCACTCTGCTTGGGCCTTTTATTTGTAGTAATGTGAGTTTATGGTTTTCTACATGTGGGATGGGGATTAAAAGGGAGGCTGGTTTTGTAATTAGCCAGACACTGTGACAATGAAATTGTACAAGTTGTTCCATGACTCCAAAGCCCTGTCCCTTGAAGTTGCCCAAACCTGGAACAAGTGGTCAAATATTATAAATCCCTAACCCCTGAAAATAAGCCAAACCTGTGTTCACCCCAAACACTCAAAGAACAGCTTATGCTGATTAGAGAGCAGAGGTAGGGAAAATGAGCCTTTTATTATGGGTCACTGAACACTCTGTCTTGCTCTGCAAAGTTTTTATGGAAGGCACGACTGTATTCTCCAGCCACCCCTGTGAAATAGGATGGTACGGCTGGTAACCGCAGTACACAACTCAGAAAATGACTCGTGAGGGGCTCAGTGAGTGCCAGACACGCTTTCCAGGTCTCCATGTAATGATATTTAGTGTTCCACTGGTAGGCCTATTATACAACTCATGTCCCTAATCAGAAAATATCTGGCTAAAATAGTATAGTTAGAGGAACAATTGTAAAAACATGGAATTCTGCTTACACAACTGTACCAGCCCTTCTGCCTGACCCGTTGCCTCAATTTCTGTCCCTCTGCAATAACTACTCAGCAAATCATTGCAGCATAAGCCATAATCTGACACTGACTATAGCTCTTCCTTTATATTATTGAATTAATATAATCATCATTGAGCTAGTAATGATTTTCTGAATAATGGAGGGACAGAAGAGTCAACTTCTCTCATGGGTTTTGGGGAAAGGGTGAGGGTCTCTGTTGTCTAAGGCAGTCAAATCGGGATTTGAGGGTCGGATTCTTTTCTTCTTCCTCAGGAGCTGGAAGAGGTTTGTGCTAAAACTGAAATATGATCTGTTCTTAATGAAATAGCTAAGACTGGCTCTGCCACAGAAGTTCATTTTCAGATCTAGTCTGTATACTGTGGTGGGGAAAATGAACAAAAATTATTTTACAATGTTAAAAATCTGTAAGGTTGCAATACATCAAACAACTAAACTAAAAGTCTGCCTCTTAATCCTGTACACTAACATATTCTGCAAAATGTGGACCTCACATGTTAACAGCCACAGGTTAGGAAACATTGGGACTGTGGTTCTGGACTGGCCTTCGTTTTTAATGCATAGTAGGAGTTCAGTAATTTGGACTCATCAGAAGTTCAGTAAAAAGATGATTTATAGATTAGTCCAAGTATTTTTATGCCTATTAGTAATTGATATATTGTACTAAATAGAACTACATTTTTCACACAAACAAGTATCATGCTTTATCCTCTAGAGGCTTTATGTAAGTCAAGTATTACCTTATAAACTTCTGTGTATTGTATTTTGTAAATTGTGTCACACTGTATTATTTTCCTAGGATTACTGTAACAAACAACCACAAGCAATGTATTCTCTCACAGTTTTGGAGGCTAGAAGTCTGAGATCAAGATGTCAGCAGGCTACACTCCGTCCAGAGGCTCTAAGTAAGCATCCTCCTCCCTGACCCGCGTGGCTCAGTTCACTGGATGTTGTCCCACAAAGCAAAAGTTTGATTCCTGGTCCTGGTCAGGCAGATCAGGGCACATGCCTGGGTTGCGGGTTCATCCCTGGGTTGGGATGATATGAGAAACAACCATATCTGTGCAAATTTACTATGATTGTGGGATGACCTAAAAAAGAAATATTATCTTTCTCCAAGATAAAAAGGACATTTTTTTCCATTCTAGATATTTATATTTAAAATGTAAATGTAAACATCCTTTGCAACTATTATGTAGCTTGAGAGAATACTGGGTTCTTTGGTAAGTATTATGCTTCATGAGTATGCAAAGCAGGTAGCAATGGCTTTATGCCTTTATTGCTTTCTTGGCACGAGGCTGGGAAAGCCATGGGAGGGCATTCCCTGCCCTATTCCTGGATGGCTGCAATTTCGTAATTGGAAATTTGTTTCCCTGTCCTAAGGCTTTTCTTCTAGGAGTGATGCCAGATTCATCTGTCCTAGCCTTTTACTCACATGTGTGTGCATGTGTGTGTGAGAGACTAAGTCTGTCCTATTCACTCAGAGTAGCGCAATTTCTTGGGGAGAAAGACCCTAAGAGGAATGGGGCAGTTGGTTGAGCATTTTCATTTGAGAGGCAGCTGAAGGAATAGACTGGGACGCCTAGAGAAGAGTGAAAACAGGATAGAGAGTAAAGGGAGCACACCCAAAGCCGACATCTCTTGTAATTCCTTTCACGTAGCTCTGCTCTTTGACAGACATGAAGCAGCAGTTCCCTGAAGGGATACATAAAGTCGCAGATGACAGAGAGGACACTTGGTTTATAGAGACACTCCAAGTTTTTCCTTTAGTGTTTTGAATAGCCTTTGGCCTAAAAACTTTATACTCGATCACCAACTTACGCCATACACAAAAATAAATTCAAGGTGGATATAAAACTTAAATATAAGTCATAACACCATGGAAGTCCTAGAGGAGAACACAGACAGGAAACTCTCAGATATTCCATGCAGCAATATTTTCACCGATATGTCCTCTAGAGCAAGGGATATAAAGGAAAGAATAAGCAAATGGGATCTCATAAAAATAAAAAGCTTCTGCACAGCTAAAGAAAACAGCATTAAAATGAAAAGAGAACCAACCGTATGGGAAAACATATTTGCCAATGATTCTTTAGGCAAGGGTTTGATCTCCAAAATATATAAAGAACTCACATGACTCCACTCCAGGACAACAAACAAGCCAATTAAAAAATGGGCAAAGGACTTGAATAGACACTTCTCCAAGGAGGACATACAAAGGGCCCAGAGACATATGAAAAGATGCTCAGCATCACCAGCCATTAGAGAGATGCAAATTAAAACCACAATGAAGTGTCATAGGTTTGATTCCCAGTCAGGGTACATGCCTGGGTCACAGGCCATGACCCCCAGCAACCACACATTGATGTCTCTCTCTCTCTATCTCCCTCCTTTCCCTCTCTAAAAATAAATAAATAAAATCTTTAAAAAAACACACACACACACAATGAGATACTGCTTCACACCAGTAGGAATGGCCCTCATAAGCAAATCAAAAAACACCAAGTGTTGGAGAGGTTGTGGAGAAAAGGGGACCCTGGTGCACTGTTGGTGGGAATGTAGACTGGTACAACCACTATGGAAAGCAGTATGGAATTTCCTCAGAAAACTAAAAATGGAACTGCCTTTTGACCCAGCAATTCTACTGCTGGGATTATATCCTAAGAACCCTGAAACACCCTGAATCCAAAAGGACCCATGTATCCCAATGTTCATAGCAGCACAATTTACAATAGCCAAGTGCTGGAAGCAACCTAAGTACCCATCAGTAAATGAGTGGGTCAAAAAACTGTGGTACATTTACACAATGGAATACTATGCAGCAGAAAGAAAGAAGGAACCCCCACCCTTCACAATAGGATGGATGGAACTGGAGAGCACCATGATAAGTGAAATAAGCTAGGCAGTGAGGGACAAACATCATATGATCTCACCTATAAGTGGAACCTAATCAATAAAACAAACAAGCAAGGAAAATATAAACAGAGACACAGAAATAAAGAACAAACTGACAGTAACCAGAGGGGAGGTGGAAGGGG